ATGTATCGTAAAAGATTTTGTCTCTCAAAATGTTGTCTTAACGAGCTGCTTTTGTTTGCTAGTTAATTTGCCCTTCTCCAAAGTATAGTGTTAGACTCGCGATGTTTTCTTCTGCGAAAATTTCACACACATCTTTTTATATAAAGAACGCACGCCATTAAACCATTGTTCATATCTTTGTGGCAATTAAGAACTATTCTTGACATTTTAAAACAATAACTCATGTCCTCTGCGTATGATCAGTTAAAACTTTATTTCCATGATGAAAATTATTAAATAATCGAAAATCAAAGACCCGCACGCGTATGACCCTCTTTATACATAATGTTCAAACAAGGGCTACAATAATCAACAGTGAAGCAATTGTTCTGTCTAAAGTGTTAATTACGTTTTCTTCTATTCTGTCTGAAACCGGTTGCCTTTGCTGCTTCTGTAAATGGAAATTGATTGTGCATTTGCCCAAAGGCTGACAATGTCTGTGTAATTTTACGTAAACGTTTCACTCGATTTTAAAGGGTATTATATCCCTGCATGTAGCTATTTTGTCCGTAAAAAAATAAATATTATTGTGAACCATTACTGAAATACAGGAGTAGTGGAATGTTTCAAACCCATGTCGAATTAAAAATATGGTTATTTGATTATTCCATATATTTATGGTGATGTTTTGTAATACTCGGGATGATTCTTATCGCTATTACAGATATGTTTAAAAATAAGGTATGGACTCCTAATGTAGAAACTATTAGGAGGGTATTGCGGATCATTTGAAATAAGTTGAGAGACATATTGTAATTCAGGATTTCTTGTTAAGTATGTTTAAATTGCTTGTAATGTTTCTCACGAAAATGTGACTACATATTAAGCAAACTTTGGTAAAATATAGAAATTGCACTTATTACGCATACTCATTACTACCATTAGCATTTTTGTACTCAAATATATATATATTTAAAGAAAGCAGCACGCCTAGATGTATCAAAACGAATACAAGAAATATATAAATGTACTATTAAATACAATCTGATTCAAGAAAATAAAGTTTGTTTGTTATGTCAACACGGCCTATGAGAATTCTGTCAGTCGTAATAACATTACCGGCGGTAAGCGGTATTAAATTGAATTCCACGGCACAGGTCGATTGGCTAGCGTTAAATGCTATGTATATATTTTTTGTCGTCTGCAACTGATAAGTTTGTAAACTTACCGGTTAAAATCAATGACAATAAGACTTTTTGCCGTGAAATATTAAGTTGAAATATTTGTCAAATTATTCAATGATCATTGTAAATCTGTAGTTGCTAAAAATATTTTCCGAGATTAAATCTCTTTTCATCTCAATCTAGAAAGTATTCTTATTTTGATATTCTGATTTTTTCTCTCTAAATTATAACATATTGCAGACAAGATTCAGATTGATGATAATTATTATATAGTTTTTTTATATGAATTTAAAAGAAACTAGTCTTTGATTTTATTTTCAAAACTGCTGATAGGAAAAATGAAAAAAAAAGTAATTTCAAACTGAAAGAAAAATAATTTCATTTCGAAACTAAGATCAAACATAAAAAAACAGAAACGTTTAAGTTGTAATAATCTATGACTCACACTATTATATTTAATTTTTGACGGGAAATGGAAGATATTTGGACACAAGCCTCTTGAAAATGTACCGTTGACATATCAGATATAACCAAACATTAAAGGCGCACTTAATGAACGCTAGAAAGTTGTTTACGCGGGATTACTATAACGGGAAATTTATGTATCATTAACATGTAACATATCCCCCGGAATCACAATATATCATCTTAAGACTAAGAAAGTACCCCATATCTCACCATACTTCTATACCAAGAAAACAATTCATAAATTATAATTACGAGTCAAAAGTAATTACAGATTTAGTGGAAAAGTCACGGGCCGCGGGGAAAATCTCTCCGCTTATCATGATATACTTCAACCCTGGAAACATTTTTTCTATTATGAAAGCAGCAATAAGATTATACATATCGGTCCTATTTCTCGGGATCCCTCCAATTTAAGCTTTTTACAAGACATGCTTTATGATCCACGCAAAACATTATGGGATTTTTGCGTTTTTAATTTAAGCGCGTAGATTAACATCAGGTATGTTCAACTGTAGGGCAGTTGTAACAACCATTTAACTAAGTTAAGAAACACGTGAATAAAAATAAGTTTATTCACCTAAACTGTAATGTTTTGTTACTCATGTAATGTGGAAACCGCCTAGCATTATACCAAGTCGTAAATTGAAGCCTTCATCAAATTAAAACCGTACCGAAAATACGTTTAATGCTCCGATAGATAAAAAACATAGCGTTTTAGCAAATAAAACAGCATTAAGAATGATTAAAAAATTAGAGCCAAACCTTTTGTTTCAAATCTATTCCAGGTGCTTGTCGGAAGAGTATAGTGTATAAAAAGAGCAACATGCTTTTGATGTACTTATTTCGGTCAAATGCATAATAGTTACTGATTTAAAAGAGGACATAAAGATCGATTGGTTTAACTTGTTAGAAAATTAGACTGAACTGCACATTATGAAAGAAGTAAACCTTCTCCCAAATGGGTAAGGTAAATATATTATTTGTGATGATGAGCAAATAATGTTTCAACTCAGATAACAGACTGATATGTAGTTTGAAAATTGCATTAACATGATGAATTACAAAGGATTCCTCCATACATGCCATTGAAGCACTTTCCATTTTTGCACTTTTTTCTTGAAAAATGTCTCCCATCATCAACTTAAATATACTAAAACATACTTTCACTTCACGGTTAAACTTATTAGGCGAATTGTAAAATGTCATTTTCCCGACACACTCATTTGTCTCCGGCAGTAAAATGTTTTTGTAATTCTGTAAATTGGTACAATTAGATTCTACATTTATCCTCTACTCTTCCAATTGCAAATACGACAGTGTTTTATCAAAACCCCGTTAGATTGTTTACGATTAGAGATTATTTCTGGATAAAACCTGTGATATTTGCATACGAAACTGATTAAGATCTTATCTCTTATATTGATCAACTTAATAACAGACAAATTCCGTCTTTATTTTGCATAATCCCCCAAGTTGGAAAATGTTAAGATTTACAAATTTTCTTAATTTTTTTTTATTTCAAACAGTCTTTATTTCAAAATTTTGCTCAATAGTATTTTTGTGTTCCATTTTCTTGCAAAATGTTAGAGCTTCTTCTATAAATTCAATATAGTCATATCTAATCAATGGTCAATGATTTCTGAATTTAATCCTAGTACGATAGCGACAATTCGGTAACAAAAGACCAATTTAGTTGTAAGTTTCAAAAATATTCCTTACAAAATATTTCAATAAGGTGGGGACATCGTAGACATGAACAGGCTTAGTCAAACCGAATTATGGACATTTTAAGGATTCTATTTCTCACTATTTTAAACGGGAGTTTATGAAGCTGATTCCTCTTTTGGTTCAAGTTAAAATGTTTTTTATAATGAAGAATCACAAAGCCTGTATCAAATTGCAATGTTAGACAATAACGACAAACCTAAAATTTTAACATTCTTTTAATAATGAGTGACCTTATAATTGATTTTGTCGAGGTAATTAAGAAATTTAATGACACATATCTTATTTGATATTCTGATTTGAGGTAAGACTACGACAGTAATTATTTATAGCTGTTTAATTTTTGATTAAATTTTCTACGTTACAAACACGAGATATGTCTTCAATATGATATTGCCAATGCGCATAATTTGAATGCGTTCTTTAGTAATTTACGACTAATGCGTTACAATAAAGTGAATCTTTAAAATATGTAATTTAACAGCTTTATGGGAATCAGGCATGACAAATCTTAAACATAAATGTATGAGATTAGTTTGATACTTTTTGTATAGTGTTCTTTCAAAAATACCAAAATTATGTAAGAAATATCAAAACACTTGATTTTATTAATACGTTTCTAAAATATTCAAAAGACGTGTTTGGTCAAATTTGGTAATATATAATATAAAAGAAATACTGAACGCCGAATAATATAACATTTTTTTTCAAAAGAGAAATAAAATAATGAAATATAGATAACCAGAGAAAAAAACAAAGAAAAGAAAAACAGATTTTATCTTAGTTAATTTTAGACACCAATCTAACGACAAAAGATCAGGTTAGAATTGAAAACATTTTTATAGCTATCATGATTTGTTCTTTAGAGAAAATATGAAAGGTATTGCATGTTTGTGTCATATAAACTATAAGCTTAAAAAGAATATGAGGATAAATGAGTATAAAACAATAAAACAGATGTTCTACGAAACTCTTAGTTGTTAATTGCTTTTTTTGTTTATACAACCATATGCTATGAATTGATTGTAAGTTCAGGAAAAAAACGCGACTCATGCGACATTTTATTTCTTTACATTCAAGATATTGCACACATTCGCTATGAACCTGATACTATTAATGCAATAAACAAGTTAATCAATTATTAATGTACACTGAAGTTAATATGTTTATTTGGAATATGTCTTCTCTCCAATGACTTGATAACGTAATAACAAGACCTTATATGGCCTCACTTGAAAGCAATGAACCTTATATTCATATAGAATGTAGGACGTGTTTCTCTTTCTTGCTTAACCAACTGATTTGCTCTTCTTCAATACATTTCGCAAAATCAAATTTATTTTATATGTTTTACATATTAACATTAAGGTATCAAGAAATTGGCAAACATTATTGGCGTTTCATTGTATCAATTTAAGGTAAATTATGAAATATCTAGACGTTGAAAACTTGGAAGCTGGAAATTGTTTTTTCAATGTAGTCTCATATTTTAGCAGAGGTTTTGTACGTTCTTTAAAATCTACATTATGATAGTGAAAATCACAGAACAAAATGGAATGCTTTTTATTTGTTACATAGAATTTTATCATTTACTTGATCAACTTCAAACTGAGATTTCTAAAATTAAATGAATAAACGACCTACCTCCATGAACACCGCTGGTGGCATTACAATCACAGCGACAAGAATATCCGCAACGGCTAACGAACATATAAAATAGTTTGTAACATGGCGCAGACTTCGCTCCCTATACACGCTTAGAACCACGAGAATATTACCAAACACTGTGAACACAGGGAACAAAACTAAGCACAGCGTCCAGTATGCATGCTCAGGATAGCCTTCCTCCTCGGTCAACGTCGTATTCCAACAAGAACTGTCGTTGAAAATATCACAGCCAAACCAAGAACTCTGGTTCAAACCAGAGTCCGTCGTTTCCGTATATGCGGAAAAATTATTCGATGTATTTGATAACAAGTCTAATGTTATTCCCGCCGATTCAACATTTGCAGCGAAATTGCTGTCCAAATTTCCCGTAAATTCCACTCCATTGCCAAGTTTTGTATCCATATTTAAATTGTCTTTCACATCGAAGACATCCGCACTTTTCTCACGTGTGGTCGCTTTAATTGTTGTAGGTAACAAATGCTCAAATATTGGTCCTTTTCCGCTACTTCGGCCAAATCGTGCCCTTGGTACTGAAATTCCAGAAAATGTATTTCCATTAAAGGGAAACATTGTCCTCAGAAAATTCGTACATCCATCTTGAACGATGCCTTTTGTGGTAATGAATGTCAGCTACCAGAATTAATATCCTGTTAAAGTTTTAGTGCTTCGCGTTTTCCTGACGCAATCCGGATAAAATATCCTATTAATTTTCTTTTCAGGAGATTAGCCCTATGAATGCGGGTTTTAATCCTCCTCAATGGATGTGATTATCTAGAACAATTGGTTTGAAGATATCCATTATAATGTGATCACTAAAATGTATTCCAATATCCGCGCGCTGTCACGGCAATTTCATTGTGTAAGATATTCTATTAGGTTATTCTACAAATGAACATACAGCGTTCGCATTATAATGTCTCCACAGCTAAGAGCTCGCGCGGAATGACACAGACACCTGTCGTTGAGAAACTATCAGATTTTCGTTCAATATTTTCAGCGTAAGAACCGACTGTGCTGATCCTGTCGAATTCCATCGATTCTATAGGCGCTTTTTCGTCTACCTGTTTAAGAAGAACAAATAATATTTACGATAGTATTAAGAAATTAGTTGCTATAATTACATGATGTTCCAAAATACATAATAATTATTCCCATTAAAGAATTCTTTCAATGTGTACGCCGTCATAAATAAGGTATTTATGTTCTTGGTATTTTCTATATTATCCATGTTGAAAAATAACATACTGTATATACTTCTGAATGTAGATTTTAAACAGCATTTATCCGATATCTGTTTTTATTCAATGACATTTCCTATTTGATTAGAAAAGCTAATAGTAAATATTAATAAAGAGTAAATAGCTGCAGTTCTTCTGCTGCGAGCGTTCACAACAAAACATTTACCGGATAGGTGTATTAATGGTTTTAGATATTACAATAGTTAAACTTTTCATTTGGCAAAAGTTTTCAATAAAACAACAATAAAACTTGATTGCCTAGGAAATGTGGTTTTCAGTGTATATTTTACTTTCTTTCCGAAAAAAATAAATAAAACGATTTGCATATTCTAATACCTCTTTGTGATTGGGTATGAAAAAAAAAGATAAGATAAAGCCTGTCATAAACAGAAATTGTTTCAAAGTATCGTATTTGAAAACTTAGCATATATAGGTTTAGAATACGAAAATGCTTTACCCTTCACTCTAAAATAGATTCCCGACAGATAGCGATTCCTGTTATAACCGATTTTTTTTATATATCTAAGCATAAGTGTTTGAATGATTAAACTTCTGAAAAACTGTTGTGTTAGCCAGAAATAATTTCATTTACGTTATGTTTGTACTCAAATCATTATAATTTATCATGTTTTGTCAAACAAAATAAAATTGATTCAATTCACTTTTGTTTATTTTATTATGATAATGTACTCGTTATTAAATCAATGAAAATAAAAACTTTAATCTCACAAAAACAAGTCATATAAAATACACTTACTAACATGATGTAAAATATAATGCATCTTCTCAAGAACTTTTTACAAGTTTTGATTTTTAAATAAGTAGGTACAAAAAGTAGTATATACATGTATCATGTATATTTGTAATTTCAAGAGCTATCAACTAGTGGATAGAAAAGAAATTTACTTATTTTTATAATTTATTATTCATTTGTTTTCCAATTATTTTTGTTGCTATCATTTTTCATGATTTTCATTGTATTTTAATGATAAATTGAAGATATTGAATGAGTATGGACTTAATACTAAATTTATTTAACAAATTAAATAAAAAATTTACATTAATGTGCTTTAACGCTATGTTTTGTACAAAACGCAAATGACGTCCTGTCAAAGTATTATTACACTCGTGTAATATCGTTTATATTAAATGGGTTTATTATATTCCTGCGCCGTGACTTATGTGATAATTATTGTTATCATATACATGTATATTTTCATAATTAACATTTTTATTATTACTCTTGCATTGGCAAGTTTCCTACTTGCATAACCAGTAAAACATCATCTTATTAGGAACACATTACTAAATAAACTCAAGTAAAGTCTTGTTTATAAAGACAGAAATTTATGGCTAAGTGTTAATAGATAATTCTAATGCATTTCTAGCAGAACCATATTTTAAGTATATCAGAATCAAACATAAGTTACATATAAAGTTATATTTGAGCAGGACCGTGTCGTATAAATCCATTTTAAATATAATAATAATAGATAGGTTATCTGCAGTAAATAGAATGTATTTGTAAAATGAATAGAATAAAACCCCGGTTACAATCATACCTATAAAGATTATTCAATTTTATTGAACACTTACTATCCATTTTATTTGATATACGTTTTAAAAGATGTTCATTGCCATTACGAATTTCTATTTCATATCTGAAATTGATACTTATAAAATTACCTCAAGTATATAAAGCTCACATTAAGTAAACTTATGTTTATTATTCATGCAGGGACGGTTCTATTTAAGATTCTCTAAAATATATCAATGTAAAGATTATATGTATCTGTTTGAAAACAAAACGTCTGTATATCTACTGTTGTGCTGGAAATTATCAACCATTTTGTGATTTTTTATCGGTTATTTTCCAACAATGATAACGGTATATTATGATAAATTATTATTGTCTATGGTGTTTTAAATACATTCTAATAGATTTTATAGAAATGGAATAAACACTATCAGTATTTATCACTTATTATAGCTGTATTAACAAAACGTTGAAAGTTTTGAAATAAAATTGTAGCTTTATTCAATTTTTATTTTAGAGCACAATTCGATCCCTAGTATTGCTTTTATGCTTTTTCATAAAGAGGTTTACGCAGTCAGAGGATAACAACAGTATATTAGAAAAAACATAGTTGAATGTAAGCTTTGTGGGAAACGTCCTGAACAGATTTTGAAAGCTTTTTACATGTATCTTGTTCAGTTTATCAAAATTATTGTTCAGCCCAAAATAATTAATAAATCATTTTCCCAGCCTTTCGCATATTTTGAAGAAAAAAAAAGCACAACATATAAATAGATTTCTTTAAATCTTATATTGCAACCAGCACTTTGTGAATGTAAAGTGTTCCTGAAAATAAAATAAAGACTAGAACTCGTGCCAATTTCTCAGCTGGCAAATTGCAAGATTTAGCTTCAAATATATTGTATTACATTTTCAAAATTAAATGAGCGGAGACATGTTTATTTTATGTATCCTGTTACTATATACAGTGTTATGCATATACTTTGTAACTGGATTCACGTTTACACATGTTACCATATATGTGCATTAGTTCTACAGTAATTCTCTCAAAGTGATGTATTATAATATTTAACCAGAAAGCCTGATTAACTGTTATATTTTATATATATTCGTTTAGGGCATTTTGACACATATATATACACAGATTATTAACGATTTTTGTTTGTTTATACAACATTTTATTTTATTACCCCTCACTATTTTTGTTATGTTAATTTTCCATAGGTAAGTGGGAATTATTCTTACTGTTAATTCAAGTGTATCATGTGATAAAGGATTGGTACTGAGACACAGGTAACAGTACTTTTTTACAGTACAAAATTGGAAAATAAAAACCTATAGAAACAGTGGCCCAATTAAGTAGTCGTTCGGGGTAGTATACGACTCGGGTAACCGTACTTTCCTCGAGATGGTATTTTTACTGTCACTCACAAACCTACGTGTTATTTATGTACATGTACTGTATATGATATTCTATTTAAATTAGACTATATCATGTTTACCTATGGCTAGTAATATAACAACTGTTGCCCAGATACAAGTAATCGATTCGTTGAGCAAGAATCGTATACATTCATTTCGCATGCTTGGTACTGGTTGGTTCCAGGAACGGATTCGAAAGTGTTTCAATAAGCTTATATCATCCAACAAATTCACACTAAAACAAATTCAAGTAATAATCGGGCAATATATTATCCTGACAAAATTCCCAATGCTTATACATGTAGGATATCATTACTACGCCACCGTGACGACATTTACAACGGTTATATAATACAACTGTGACGTCCAATTTTTATGTCAGTGTTCCAGATATTTCTGTGCTATTACATTGAAGTTATAAACTGAAGATATTCTGAAAATAATTCTTAATAACTATATCCCGCTTATTCTGGCACATAAACAAACAACACAGATATAGAACTAATATAATGATATTTTCGTAATACAAATCGGGTTAACCATAAAATTATCTTGGGAATTTACTGTATATTGATTATATTAAAATGCTTGATTTGAGGATACTTATATGTTATTCAAAGTTACCATTTCACTGATAAATAATTGAGTTCATGACATATTCGTTACAAAATAAAATGTTGTAATAATTTATGTGCAACAGATGTAAAGATGTATTCATCATTTATTTATGTATTTAATCATTTTACCAACAACCATGCGGGTTTCGTGTCATATTAGACACTTTACAATCAGTCATGCTTTCAGATTTGAACAATAAAAACTTTCGTATACCCCTATTTGTCTTGATGTTTTTGTTTGCAGACATACTTGCGCTGGTTTATCATTATTCCAGACACAAACATGTGGGCAAATATCAGACAAATAGTCATACAATATTGTACGTAATAGATTCTTTTAAGTATCCGAAACTTTCTCTACATTATTAATATTTTGAATGGCGATAAAGAAGACTGTATTTATAAAAAATGGACATACTGTCGTTATTACAAATATGCATTGTACGAAGCTGTTAATCAGAGATCTAATCAGAGATCGGGTGGCGCTGTCAGTTTTGAGATTATCGATCTTATATAGTTCTCAAACTACTATTCACATTGCATCTTTGCGTTACAGAGATTGAACAAATTAACAAAAATAACGTTTAATACATTACATTAATTCTATAATTGATAATTTAGCTTAGCTTGTTTTTTACCTTAATATACGTATATACAATTTAAAGAAAGAAGTAGTTCGAAATATTTATAAATTAGTAACAAAATTAGGAAGTCCGAATAAATGTGTTAAGTTATTATTAAAATGCGACAGCAATTGTATACCAATAAGATGCCACACAAAACAAACACACACCAACAAAAAAAAAAATCTGTTAAACTACATTATTTTTTTTTTCTTATTCTAAGATACTATTTGTTTAAATCCGTTTTAGTATTGAGTTAAATCCCTTTTTAATTTCATATAAAACACTAAATCTAATCTGAAGTTAATGTTGATTCTTACAAACATTTATATTCGAAATGTTTAACTTACTTATTCTTTGAAAGAAAATAACAATGTAATAGTATATGAGAATATATCCTTCTTATCATGCAGAAGTATTCCGGTGTTTCATAACATGCTGCGTTTAACGATCGACACAAAGAATAAATGACAGAGACAAAATACACATGTAACAATGTAAACGGTTGCTAGAGTAACTGTCCGAATGTGATAATATACATATTCATTTATATAACGGTACTTTTACTGACTTATTGTTTTTCAGGTCAAACTAATGTACAAATACCGCATATATATTTGTAAAATAATCAGAAGTGAGTTAATCATATTCTCCTGGTTTGCTAAAGTTTGTAAAGGACATGTGGATTTTATATTTTGAAAGATATAGTATACTTAACAAATAATGGTAGCGAAATTTCAGACCCCGATGTTCTTATTTGCAAATGCCGAAAGTAGTCCAAACTCCTCGAAGCGGTTACTTCC